TACTAGAGGTCCAACATGGTCCGATGCGAGCGGCAAGTGACCGGAGACACGAGACACAGTCGATGTTCGATGATGGAGAGGTTGCTTGTATGATAACCCAACAGAATCTGAGGTTCAGACGATCTAAAATAGCGGAAATAAAAAAATGTCTCAGAGTCGACAAAACATTTAAAATCTCCTAATCCTGACAATAGATTTCGTTGCGTTAGTAATTATTTTCAATAGATTCGAATGTGCGTATAGGTGGCGTTCTTCGTTGAACCCAACAACTATTGAGCAGCCTGCTTCCTCGACCGCCCTTAGGCCGACCCAGACTGCGTAGCCGACCTCCGAGATCGAAAAAATCTATCAATTCTACTCAGTAGTCTTTGTAATTATTGTTGTAATTTTCCCTTTTGATTTTTTTCTTTCTTTCTTTGGTTGTATAATCAACCTTGTAACTTTCTTATTTTTGTTTGATCGACCTTCAACTATGGCCTCCCATATTAATGCCACAATAATTTTCAGTAATAAAAATTACGCCATGTAAATAGCCTTTTAAATCGACTTTCCATTGAGGACTTCAAACTTTGTTTATGATAACCGAATAGAGTAAAAGTTAAGTTAATTACTCAACCTATCCCTGAGGTCTCTAGAATTGGTTCCGTATTGGAAAATTTTGTCATTTTGACCTTGTAGTTCCTCATTTGATTCTTTAACCTTCCCCTGAGGTCATTGTCTATGGTATTAGATTTGCGTCTCCCCCCTTTTGAGGTCGACCCCTCATCATTATTTGGATTAGGTGTTGGTCCTTCGCTTTCCAGTTCTCCTGCGACCCAACACTTGGATAGATCATCCAACCCAGAGGTCTTAATGATGGTGGGTTTTTCCTTGATCAGTTGCCCAACACGCCACTGGAGCCCTTCAAACAAGCAATGTCACCTAACTCGAAAGTCTTCGTCATGGCGGATTTTGCCTTGTACTTTTGTCCAGCCCGCCATTAGGTCGTTGAAACAAGCAACCATCCATCCCGTCACTGCGGTTGTTGATAATATTCAAAATAATGAGGTTGAATTACAGTTGAGTTAGATTCAAGTTAAAAAAAAATAGTTGTCTAAATATGATTGGATTGTTTAAAGATGAGTTGGGTCGATTCGGGGAATGGTTTGGGGCTCGGTTTCGGCTACTGTATAGGCGATTGCACAGTTTCGGTAGTGGTTTCTCGGGCTTGGACTCCTTCTTGTGTCGATTTTCACTTCTGGTTGGGCCTGCTCGTTTTCCGGGGAAGGGCCGTGACATTCGTCATATTTACGTGCATTTTAGAGTGATTTTTGTGTCCATTTTGTCGTAGTTTGATATATAATTAATTAATAGTTAATTAATTGTTATTTAATTAATTATTATTTAATTATTTTTATTAAGCTATGATAAAGTGTTATTTTGAGTTTTATCAGGAAATCGGGTCCAAAATGATTTTTGGAGTCGAAAACGGCAAAACAATCGGCCAATGACGGTGTGCAAGTTATGTACTATATCTACAAGGTTGTACTTCCAGAAAGTTGGGCCGAATTACAGCCGCACAAAGGCCCAGGTTACATAAGAAAATCAGCCCAAATCAGTCCAACAAAAGCAGCCCAATTCAGCATTTTTAATAAGGGTATGGTGGTCATTTCTCAATGGAAGAAGAGTTCTTCTTCAACCTTGGCATCATCCATCCGCCATTGACAAGCAGCAGAGCTCCGTCCACGTTGAACCACGACCACCGCACGCTACACGAAGAGCCTAGCTGGACGTCGCTGCCATCCCGTCACCGAAAACCGCGCCTGAAAAGCTTACATCAGAAATTACGAAGTTGGCGGAATCTCGACGGAGCTCCATCTCTTACCACCTGGACGTCACAGGATTGTCGGGAACCTTCTTGGATGTCGTAGAGCAGAACAGAGCACCATGTCGGAGAAATCGTGCATCCAAGAGATGTTCCAACTTCCATGTGCATGCATGTGCGTGACCGAAAAATGGCCGGAGCCCGCATCGTCGGTGACCAGGACGTGTTTCTCATCGCCGAGATCGACTGAAACGCCGGAAACTCGAACAGGTGCTGACAAATGAGCTGAAAGCGAGGATTTGGAGGTGATTTTTCCTCCCAGACTCACACGAGTAGTGTGTCTCGTTGACACGACTCGTGTGTCGCGAACAGGCTGATACGCACTCTCGGGATGTCCACACGACTCGTGTGGCTTATGACACGAGTCGTGTGGCTCTGGACAACTCCAACACGGCCCCTACGCGGTTTGACACGTTTTCTCCTATTTTTAGGGATTTTCGACCTATTTCGACTAGGACTCGACTACAACTATATATATAACACTTGGACACATTTTTGAGGAGTCTAGGACCTAATTTTCAGATCTTTGGAGAGCTTTGGAGGCTAGAAACACGAGCAAGACGAGGGAGAAAGTCCGGGAAGAAGGGATCGACGGAGCCGAATAAGCTTTTTCTTTCTTTTCCTTTTCTTCTTTCGAACTCAATGTTTTATATTTATTTTGAAAGCATGTTTCTAGGATAATTTATCTTGGATTCTAGGATTTGTTAGTACTCGAATTGATTTATGATTTAGTTTTTATTTATTTCATTCCGGTTTATCTTTCGTTTATAAATTTCTTGTGCTTATTATTATTGTGTGAGTAGACGGCCGCTATGAATGCATATTTGTAATTGATTTGAGATCGAGAGGAGATAATTGATTGCTAGAATTGGAAAATTTATAACGTAGGAGACTAAACAGACCGAGAGGTTGATAGAATCTTACGAGAGAACGAAAATCCTAGGAAATTATGGGTGTTAGTTGTTCATCTTGAGACCGAGAGGAGATAGATAACAATTAATATCTACGATTTGCTTGTTCGAGAGAAAGGTTGAAATCAATTTAGCGATTATCTCTACGATTGGTAAAATTAAATAACGTTTGTATGAATATAAACGTTTCATGACTTAATTCCGAGGAACGCTTAGCCTAGAATCTATCTTTTGTATCTTATTTTATTTTTATTTCATTACGTAAATTAGTTTTTTGTTTAATTTCATAGTTTAGAATCATCATCTCATTCGTTAGTCTAAATAATATTTAATCGTCATTATTTTAGTACTTAATTAATTTAACTACAATCTCTGTGGAATACGACCTTGCTCGCCACTACCTATAGCTACGCCGTACACTTGCGGATAGCAAAAATAATTAGCGAACAGGCCGCTAGTTATTTTAGTTTTTGTTGTTCTTGTTTTGTGTTATCCATGTCTGTGTTTGTGTTAGTACTTGTGTTTTAGGTTTAGGTCGTTCGGTGAGCCCGAGTGTGACTTTATTAACCTTTTTCATCGTATACTCGCGTATTACCCTGTTAGGGTATTTTTTTCTTTTTAATCCTCCTTTTGGGAGCTTTTCATGTCGTTGTGTTTTTTGTGTTTCTGAGTATTACCCTGTTGGGGTCGGCTCTAGACGGTCTTTGACATGTCCTCTAAGTTTATTCAGTTGTTGGCTGTTTGTATTTAGCTGGTGTCTGTACTTTGACACTTTTATGCGATTTTATATATAATACCTCTATCGTTTCGAAAAGAAAAAAAAATGATTGGATTTTTGTTGTGAAAATTGGTATCCAAACATGCAGCAACAGTTTTTTAGTTTTGTAAAGTTACTGAAATAATATAAAATATTAAAGAGTGGATTCAAATATTTAATAAAGAGTAATGTTACATTGTCAACCTAATATAATATATATACAACTAGGTTGACAATAAAAGTAAAAACATTAAAAAAAATTAAAAATAGAAAAATACACATGTGGATGTTTTCACTTGTGTTGTCCACCTAGTTGTACACTAGGTTGGTAATGTAGCATTCTTTCTTAAATAAAACATAATAAAATGACGGTAGAGAGTGCAGATATTTTTTAATCACAAAAATGAAGGGATTAATTTAAGACGGATATTATAACTTCTCTTAGTGACATCACTTTGTCACATCCATTCATTAGGTAACTTCCTTTCAAGTGAATTACACTTAGCATCTGAGATGGCTTTTATTTGTTCTGCATATTCTCCAAGTATTGGCTAAAAGCTAATCGGGTACTTGAGCTGCTTGTCCGGCGTAAAGATTCCAAAGTTCTTCTCATATTCGGGACTTTTCTGGTTTTCATCGAACATCGCGAAAATGTAGGTTTCGATGGTCTCTCCCGGTCGTTTAGGTGTTCCGCTTTTGACACGTTGAATCATATTCGTCAAATAAGTCTTAGCATAATCAACAGTGGTCGTGTCCCCTCCAGTCGAAGGCCAACCGCTCTCAGACACCACGATTCTCACGGTCGACCCACCGACTTTTTCCAAAGAAGCATACGTTGCATCAACAATCGCATAGAAAAGATTCTGGTACATCACGCCAGAAGGCATAACAACCCCATCAGACGTAAAAAGCGCATAATCGAGAGGGATTTGTTCCTTATTGTTAATGTAAGCGAAATAAGGGTACACGTTAACAAGCAATGGCCCACTGTTATCCACCAAGAATTGAACAATGGGGCTGATATACGGAACAACATCTAATCCGAATGTCCCGTTTTCTGGAGGATATGAGTTAGCAACAAGTCTCGTATCGATAACAGTGGAAACTTTTATCCCGAGACCAGCGGCCGATACAGCTGTGTGAATGTTTTGCATGGCAGGAAGAACAGAGGCTCTTTGGGAAGGGCCTACTTCGTTCCCAACCGCAATGTAGGTAAATTTTACGTCGGTAAAGTTGTTTACGTTTTTTTGGAACCAAGAATCAGCGTTTTCTTGGGAGGCAGCTAAGTATTCGAGATCGGAATTGGGAATGCCGAGAATTACGTCAATGTTAGATCCTCGGAGGGCTTCAAGAGCCAGTTGGTTCGGGTCAAAGAGCCTCATCATTGTAATATTGTGTTGTTTGTATAGAGCCACAACATCAGATGCTGGAGGTAAGTTGTTCCCCAGCGTCCCATAACAAACTCCTACTTGAGCATCTGCAAAAAATAAATAAATAAATAAATAAAATAAAAAATAAATAAATAATAAAATAATAATAATAATAATTAATTAATAAATATCGTAATTGATTAATTTTACGAGGAAAGACGGCAAACCTGTGACATTGAGGACAACGGTAAAAAATAGCCCCATATAAGCCGTAAAATGTAGAAATTTATTCATATTTTTGTGGATAAATAATATAATTGCATAAGCAAACTTGTGTAATGAAGCGATCTGTAAACCTAACACCCCTATTTATACAGAAATATGGTTCTAATGTTTTATTGTAATTCCAATTTGGATTAATTCTACCCACCTTTTTTTTTTCTCGTAGATTTACTTTTATTGATAAAAGATAACAAATTACAAAAATAATAAAATTGTATTAATTGCATAAATATGTTGATTATTTATGCTCATGTTACATGTATTAATTGTATTTTGACATCATTCTTGTTATAACCATTGAATTGTAAATGTATTTTAAAAGTTAATAACTTTTTTTAGTTTTATCAGTTTTAAATATATAATATTTCAAATTAATCATCTCTTGATAAACTTCGATTTAATATCCATATTGTATGTATAAAAAAATAAATTATATTTATCTTTATAACAATAATAAAATAACTCATGTAAGTCGCACAAGTAACAAGTGTTATTCTAAAATATATAATAATATATATTTTTTGTAAAAAAATAAATAAATAAAATTTAAAATAATTTTTCTCATTAATTTTAAAATTCAAGAATAATTTTTTGGCATGCACTAATTAATACATGGTGTTGTACTAGTGATTTATTATACCGGTAAGGTGTTATTTCAAATTACAGAACACATGCGTGAAAACTGGATTTGGAAAGTCATCCCAGCATACATGCTTTATACCATATTCAATGTCTGAAAGAAAAGAGTCTTATAATTAGTTCACTTTAGACAAAGTCTTTTTTTTCATTTTATTTTATTTAATTTTTTTAAAGTGTATCATATTTAGATGTAATCTATAGGTCTATATAAAATTAGAGTTAATAATACAAGTAGAAAGAAATATTTTATCGTCAAAAATTGCATGTATATAATTACATAAAGTTAAAATTTTATTTATATATCTGATTTTATATCTCCGATTACATTTCTTTCTATTTTGTTGATGCTACTAATTGAGACATTGATTGATTAAGTATTTGTTCAAGTTGAAATATTACAAAATATAAAATATGAGAAATATTACATGTTACAAAACTTTAACAAAAAGTAGATTTATTCGATATAATTTTTTTATTTATGCAATATGGTTATATATTGGGGTGGATCCAATGAGTCTCATTAAAATGAGTATGTCAGATTCAATATTAGCCATTGATTTGTGCTGATCAGTGACTCATATTAATCAATTAGAATAAATATTAATTATATAATGAGAAACAATTATTATCTATTAATATATAAGGAGACAATGATATTTGCTTGAAATAGTAACTAAAAATCAGTAAAAAAATATTTGGTTTCCTGCCTAAAAATTCATATTTACTAAATTCGGTAATTTTTTTGGCCAAAATTTGAAAAATCCTGACTAAATTAATGTAATTAATGTACATAATCATTTTGGTCAAATGTAGCGGTTATTACCTTCATTAGTTGCATGATTTAAATTTGGAATATAATATTGATATGGGATATTATACCCACAAATGTAAACCGGTCTGCTGATTCGGTCGAAGGGGTTGTCCCGCGAGAGAGCCAAACCAATCGAGCAGTTAAGCAGTCGAGCAGTTGAGCAGTCGAGCAGTTAAGCGGTCGAGCAGTCGAGTTGACCTCAATAGATCGACCACTTTACGAACTGGCGGTATTTCGGAGATCGACCTAGTCACAGGCGCGTGTAAGAGCCTCTAACCGAATTTCAGGGGAATATTCAGAGGAATAATCACCCCATGTGCAGAGGACACGTGGCGAGAATGCATTGGTTGACAGCGACAACCACCTCTGACAACTCCCAACGCCACCTCTGACATGTGCGCGGCGTGTCAGAGTACGGACGGGCAGCTGGGGCAGCCAGTTCACCAAGTCCGGGCAGCTCTTAGGTCAGGTACCCCACCCCTATATAAAGGGGGTGTGAGCCTTTCTTCCTTAACACACAATTTCCATTATTCAACTCATACATACATATACTTACTTAAGCATCGGAGGCTCTTCACCGGAGAAC